CGCTCTTCCGATCTAAAAACTAAACAACATAAAGCCAAAGTGGAAATAAATACTGCATTCAACCAAAAGAGTGCAGATTATGAAGTCTGTATACTATATTGCCCTTCAGTAATTACTAGATTTAAATAGAGAAGATGGGCACATCCGACTACCTAATGCAGTAGTTCACACTGCATGATTTTTTTGCCCCTATTTTCCCCTTATGACAATCTTAGAACGTTGGGTGTTCCAAGATTGTCGCTGGTGATTTCGTAACCGATCATCCTGCAGTGTGTGGTGTGTTATGGTGGATCAGGGTTTTCCCTGACTTGGAGCATTAATGCTGAATGTGACAGGTAGCCAATCAGAAAGCGCCGATTCTCCTTCTCGCTTTCTGAGGGGAAATTACGGAGGGGAATCCCAAACAGCTGACACGGCGCAACCCGAAGTCCAGTGGACATCGGAGATGATATGTGGAAACAACATTAATGTTCAACGTTTCGTGCAAATAATATAGAAATGACAAGGAGAGGAGTTGGAGCCAAATTGCTACCGCAGTTGATAAAACCCGGTAAGTTTTCAGCTGTTCTTCGTTAACGTGACATAAATAGGTTACAATGATTTTCATTCAGTCAGGATTTTACGCTGACTCTAGCCACATGCATCACAGGTAGATTCTAGTAAAGCATTGATTAATGCCTGGTTTTAAAATTAGTTAACTGGACTTGTAGCCCTTATTTTGTGCCCATGTGACTGGACACCACATGGCACGACGAACCCAATCGAACCGTTATACCTAGGATTTCTGTCAGCTAATGTGTGATCTCTCAGGTTTTGAAAATGGGCCGCTGGACATTACACCAAGGAAATGAGGAAGGGAGGGTCAGTAGAGAGCACCGGAGCTGAGCCTTTTTCATTCAGTGTCATCAACAGAAAGAAAAAAAGACAGGAAGAGACGATAAAGCCGATAATTAAAATGAGGTCGATAGGTTTAATTTATGGTGTGATTAATTGGTATATCGTTTATGGTGACAGGCCTAATGTTATGTCTGTATAAGACGAGGCTCAGTTTTTTTCACAGATTATCTGTGAAAAAAACGTCTGATGTTTTATTGTTTGAAATGTAATAATGTAGTGATAGTTTAAACAAATATTAAAAAAAAAAACATTTTGTTCTAAAGAGAACATACAGCAGCTTAAAGGTTGACCTTTAACATATCTCTATAAAAGATAAAAGGATTTAGAAAAGTGTTGGCAGCATACATATTCAACTTTTTTGAACATGTATGCTGCCGAATGTAACTTTTATTAAAAAAAAATATTTTACATATTATCTCATGTCAGTCATATGCGCACCCTGTCAAATAGGTATTGAAATCTGACTTACTTTTCTACATAATCTTGTATATCTTCTGTACAGATATGTTCCAGATTAACCTTTAAACCTGCAGTGTGTAACTTATAAAAATTAGGTTCTTTAAAAACAGTTTTATAAGCTTTCCCTCGTCATTACAGTAAAGCAAGAGACATAATCTGTGGAAAAAATCCAGCGTTGTCTTCCACTGACATGACATTGTGATAGTGTTGACAAATATGTAAAAAACAACATTTTACTATAAAACTTACATACTGCAGCTTTAATGTCATGTTACATGTTCAAAAACATTGTTAAAATCGGAAATACTTTTCTATATCATGTTAAATATGTTTTGTAAAGCTTAACTGTTATATTTTAATATCCATTTTATATATTAAATTATAATATATAACCACCNATTTTGTGCCCATGTTGCTGGGCACCTCATGGGCACGATCGAACCCGATCAAACTGTTATACCTAGGATTTCTGTCGGCTAATGTGTCTCTCAGGTTTTGAAAATGGGCCGACAACACATGTAGTGTGCCCTGGACATTAGACTAAGGAAATGACGTAGGGAGGGTCAGTGAAGAGCACCGGAGCTGAGCCTTTTTTCATTCAGTGTCATCAACAGAAAGAAAAAAAGGCAGGAAGACATGATAAAGCCGATAATTAAAATGAGGTCGATAGGTTTAATTTATCGTGCAATTAATTGATTTATCGTTTATCGCGACAGACCTAGTCGTCACTATTTTGTTGCTTGAGTTACAGACAGAAACTCTGCAAATATAGCTTTTTTCCCCTCTACATCCTTTCAATCAGGGCTTTAGACTAAAGCCATTTTTTTATCTGGCCATTTTTGCAGTGGCTATAAAAAGTATTCACACCCTGGAATATTTTATCCTTTCTGTTGCTTTTACAAATCTGTCATGATCAGCAAAATTGGGATTTTTTGACCAAGGAAGGGAGTGAATATTTATCTAATCACTTAATTTATGTTAAATATTTCTATTTAATTATGACTATTTTGTAGAAGTCAGTTTTCATTTCACTATTTTCATGATTATTTTCTTCAGAAAAGCAAATTGTCTTCCTTATTGATTTGTTAAAGCAATGAAAAAGGGGTGAATACTTTTTATGGAAACTGTAAGGGGATTCAGATGTTAAAACATTGACTAATTGGTTTTTATTTTTTATTATTGTAGTAAGTGGTATATTATTTACTTTAAGTATTATTACATGTGGTATCATTAAAAAAATAGTCAAAAGAATGCTAGCCACAAATGTTCCCAAAGATAAAGTATCTACTCACCCAGAATATTTGAGAAAAGCTGCAAACTGCGAGTTTACTCAAGTTTAATCTGCTCCCTTTATTGAAAATCTATATCTGCGAGTACACAGTTGCAGCGCGTTTCTACTGCTGCTTTGATCAGAAGTTTCGCAGCTTCTTGTTGTCACTGAAATGCACCCAGAGGGATTCCACTGTAGTGAAAACATCCTCAACCCAGATTAATAATTTTCATTCACTGACTCTCGCGCATGTAGCTTCCTCAAATGTTTCCTCTCCGTGACGTCAGTGGTGCGTTCGAGGAATTGATGAGCCTCTCCAGCAGCTGAGAGCGGACTTGTTTTCATTATGCAGACATCTTGATGATGGGACGGGAATGTATTTGTGTCTTCTTGTGATGATGGAGTTCTGTTCTTCTTGCAGCAGCCTAATGATTTTGTTTTTGCAGTTTTTGACGACGGCGACGAGAAGACTCTGAGGCGTTCTTCTCTCTGCCTGAAAGGAGCCCGTCACTTTGCAGAAAGCGAGGCGAGTAGCGCGCTGGCCTTGAGTTTAATAGCTGCCTCATTGAGAAAGCTTAACAAATGAAACCATGAATGTTCTCTTTTTCACATTTTAACTAAAGATTATTGCTTATATATATATATATATATATATATATCCTGTGCTAAATAAATCCAGTCCTTTAAAAAAGATTTTATGTCATGTCAGTGAACACTTTGTTTGGTTTCTAATTGGCTGAAGACGCAGCTGAGGTTCTTTGTTGTGCTTTGTTTCATCTGCAGACACTCGACAGACTCCCTCTCACCAACCCTGAGCACTTTGGCACACCGGTCATTGGCAAGAAGGGGAACCGTGGCCGGCGATCAAATCCTATGTGAGTATTACCCTCAATCTCTGGCTTATGTCTAACTGCTACGGTGCCTTGAAAAGGTGAACAAAACAATAACTGTGAAGACAAAAGTAAATGGTACATGGTTTATTTTTTTTTTAATTTTCCAAATGCAAATCTAAGAAGTGTTGCATTCATTTGTATTTAGGCCAGCAAGTCAGCGCCTTTAAAGAGTGAAATTTTTGCCTGTTAGCTGAAGTTCAGTCAGATTGTGTTTGCTAACATTAGTTATCAAGTTTTGTCAGTGATTCTAACTGGACTTTGATTGAGCCATTCTAACACATATTGCATATTGATCATAAACCTAAATTATGAATTCATCTGGACCCTACATAGCTTTGATTAAGCGGGTTTTCTTGTGGCTTTTCCCCAACAGTTGCTTTCTCCTTTTCCATAAATGCCAGATTTGTTGATGGTCGCACATCTGACATAGACTCCTTACATCAGATGTGTGTTGCTTGGTCCATGCGCCTCCTCCACTAACAGACACATCTGCTGTACCTTTGTTGATGGCATGTGAAATGAAAGATTTGATCTCATCTCTTTATGCAAAGTTTCTGAGGCTTGACAATGAGAGAAGAAGCAGCTCACTGATTCCCGCTCCTTCATCATGAAGGCTTATGAATGTTTGCATAGTTTGGTTGAAGGCTGCATTTTTCCATTCCTTTTTTTTCCTCTTCCTTTCCTTTCCCCTTTACTTTTGTTTTTCTTTTCTTTTCCTTTCTCTAGAATTGAACCACTCATATCTCTTAGTTGTTTCTGATTTGATCTTTTTTGGGTAGTTTTACAAACTACACAAAAAGGATCCATCTATCATTATGGATCCTTACTTCATCGTCTCTCTGCCCGACTTTCTAACCATACAGCCAGACAGATGTAAAGAGAAGCGTCAGAAGCAAAAGAGGTGGATTAAGCAGTGCTTGCCAGCAACTGATGGAGTCAGCCAGGACATATTACTATAGAGCATAGTCAGCACTGCCCGGGTATTGAGCTGTTAGCATGTCATAGCATGCTAGCAGTGTGGAAAATCCAGCATTTACCAAACAAAAATGTACCAAGCAAAATGGAATCCATAGTAAAGGAAAATCTACACATTAGATGAGGGGAAAAGTAAACCTCACAAAATAATCAAATCACAGGGCAGACAGCAACGCTATCTTCAATCAGAGGCTTCTTCAGATCAGTTGCAAGACTGACTGCTACCAGCGTCACCATCCACAACAACTGTTTGAAGATACTTAAGTGATGCAAGCTATGACAACATTTAATTTCCCTTTGGCATAAATAAAGGATCTGTGAACTGAATTGAATTGAACTTGGATGTTCTTGTAGTTTTTTTTTTTCTTTGCTATAAAAATCCCCTGATGTCTATGAGCTCCTGGGAAATAGCACAGTTTTCATTTGGGAATAGGGACTGCTCAGGCTTTATTTGGGTTATAATTGCGTTTCATCCCTTATAAAGAGAAGACTTGGCTACATAATCTTATTCTCCTTTATAATTGCACCCACAGAAAAGTCAATATTGGCCTAAACACTGATGCACTATTGATCCACATTGGACCCAGCTACACATTAGACCCTTGGGTCTGTTATCCCTCTGCACAATAAAGTTTTATATCAGGAGTTACAGAGGTTGACTCCACTGTATACGCTGAAACGAATACAGTAGCATCGTCGACGGCTGCGCTGCAGCAAGTGCAGAAGGATTCCTTTAAATCACTTCATGCAGCAGCTGTCAGTTAATGTTGAATTCTGTTTCCTAAATGAATGGTAGTCTCCCTTTCATTAAGTCGTTAAAGTGCTTTGTTTATGACTTTGAGTCCCAGCTTGTTGATGTTGTTGTTGTAGCTGCAGCAGCCTGACTGATTTACTGAGCTCTCGTCGTGCCAGACGCCGTGTTTATATGTACACAGAGCTGCGCACAGACCCGGCCTAGTGAGGCATAAAAAGAGGACAGAGGATCTGTTTGCCTGCTGGTGCTGCTTGCATGATCACTCAGAGACGTGTCTGTCTGTCTGCTGGCTGCAGGACAGAAAATCAGGAAGAAGCATCAGAGCGTCAACACGCTGATCCTAATGAGTGGGCTCATCAGTGGAGTCTTGTGTTTCACTCTGCACCGCAGTGATAAGAGCACAAAATATGGAGCTGGTTTGTTGTACTTGAGACTGTTCATGTTTTATTGCCGAAGATGTTGCTAAATAAGGAGATGGTTGGTTTGGGGGAAATTAGCCTCTCCGCTTTTATTGAAAGAGACTGGCACAAGTTGCTCGTTTTCACTGTTTTATTGATGATTGTTGTGATGCTTGGGTTTTATTTTGCAGATCGTGGTTACTGATGCATGCTTAGCAACAACATTGGTGTCGTTTGATCTTTTCTCTTCCCTTTTTCTCACTTTATAGCTTCAAACTTTATTGTATTTCATTGGGATTTTATGTGACGGACGAACAGAAAGCAGGGCAATGTTGTAAAGCAGAAGGAAAATAATACATGTTTTTCAAAATATCTAAAAAAAAATCTGACCAACCTCCTTATTCTGATAACCTTTAATAAGATCCATTTCCTCACTTGTAAACAAAGTCCACCTTTGAGTAATTTAATTTAATTTAATTTTTCATTGTGAAAGCTGTGCATCATCTCTGTTCTTCTTCACACTTTGTGTATGTCATGTCACGTAAAATTCCTATATAATACATTGATATTTATGGTTGTAATTTGTCAAAATATGAAAAATATCCAGTTGTTATGAGTTCTTTTGCAACGCCATGTAAATGTACCATTCTGTCTACACCAGATGTGAATAATTGGTTTGTTTATAGACCGAAACATGTTCCCTTCAATCCTAGTTAGTCCAAATGTTATTTAATTTTTTAGAATCAGATCTAACGCTCAAATCTTTACGTGCATTCTCCTCCTCCCTCCGTCTTCCTACCATAAAGTCTTTTTGAGCAAATTGTACTTTTTCCTCCCCCAGTCAAGAGGAGGAGTTGTCCTCCTCCTCCAGTGAGGAAGAGGAGAGTGACCAGCGTCAGAATGAAGATCTGTTCGGCAAAGTGGTCTGCGTGGAGGGGGTTGCCGCCGGCGACAAAAAGAAGAGCACGTGGTATCCCGCTCTGGTGAGTTCATGCCTTTCTCCCCCAGCTGCTCCATGCCGCAGCAGAGCCAGAGAGCGCTGCTGCTGATCTAACAGAATAGCCACAGAGCTGTGCCATTTCATCAAAACGCCTGCTTACGTAACAGCAGCACTCAGCAGGATTATGTGATTGCTTTGGAGTTCAGCTGCTTTGAATTGCCGTAACATGCATGTTTTGGGCGATGAAGGAAGGAGCTAATTTCCTCGAATGGGGGGGGGATACTTTCCTTCATTTTCTCTAGGAATTAGATCTTATCTGAGCAGCAGTGCAGCACAATCAGGTCTGTTGCTTTTAATTCACGTCTCAGATCCATTTCTAAACTCTGTCAGTGTCAGTGACTGCTCTTTCTCGTTTTGTATAAGTGCTAGCAGTAGAAGTGTGAGAATGGCAGAGGGTGGGGAACTGTCCTTTTAACTGTGCTCAGCTCTGCCCCTCCTGGATTTGTTGTTCTTGGCTTGTTGTTGGCTGAGCTCCATGCTGCCTCCTTGTGACCGAATAGGGGAGAACATTATACAGCAGCTTGTCATTGTTTACACTGTTACCTTATGGCAGAGCGATGCTGCCAGATGTGTCATGCAGCAGATGATCCATAGCTACAACAAAAGGGTTTGTTTCCCTCCCGACTCGTACGCTAAAAGGAGGAAAGGTCATGTGTCCATATGTGAGCAGAGTGTTTACCTTCGCAGAGCAACATGTGAGTCTGTGCTTAGGTCAGAGTGTTCATCCTGCAAGCGTGTTTGTGCTGCAGAGTCCAGGAGGAAGTGGGCAGAGAGCGAGTGGAAATCATGTTAGCAGGGCTGCCTCCTGTCATCGTTTTGCTTCTCAGCTCCTTCCAGCAGCCACACATGCTGCCATAAGCTGCTTACTCCTACAACTACAACCATCATCTCCCTTTCCTGTATGTTTTTACGTTCACAAAGGACATAATTCTACATGCCATCTGGCAGAAACCTGTTTGAACTCCATTAACACCTCAGCTCCGTCTCTTGTTTGCATCTGATTTTCCTTTTTCTCTTGTTTCTTTGCATCACAAGGTCATTTCCCCGGACTGCCATGAAGACATAACCGTGAAGAAGGACAACATCTTCGTCCGATCTTTCAAGGATGGAAAATTGTGAGTTTTCTTCTTTTCAATAGGCATTACACTTCTTCTGCTGTTGGTGACTCTTTGTGCTGCTCCTTTCTGCCTTTTATTAACATTGAAACGAGCTACGCTTAGCAGAAGTATTCAGTATTGTCAGAAAGTATTCACACCTCTTAAACTTCAATGTTTAATTGTTTTTTTTTCTATTGTTTTTTTTTTTTCACAGTAATTGTGAAGTGGGAGGAAATGACACCAGATGGTTTTCATCAGTTTTCAAAATAAAAGCCCGAAAAAGGAAACTGACTCAATACTTTACACACCTGCCTTCTGCTGCAGTTACAGCTTTAAGTCTGTTAGATTTTGTACATCTAGAGATTTTTGTCTTACCTCCTTTACAAAACGACTCGAGTTCAGTCAGATTGGATAGAGAGCATCTCTAAACATCAGATTTAAAGATTTTAAATTGGCCAAGGGCAGCGTTGAAATTTATGTGAGGTTGCTGAATACAGATGCAGGCCACACTTTTCAGACTTTATTCATTAAAAAAATGAGAACTATGCTCACTTTTCCTTTCACTTCACAATGAATTTCTTTGTGCTCTCTTATCACATAAAATCTGAATAAAGCTTCTTGAAGTAGTAGCAACATAATAAAGTGTAAAACATTTAAAGAGCCGTGGATAAGGTTTTTTTTTTCAAGGCAATGTGGATTAGTGTAGATCCATCTGTACCTTTAAGGATTTGTAGCTATTTGTAGCTATACATGGTAATTTTTCCAATTTATTACGCCTAAAATGAGAAACTTATTTTTAGGCGTGCTCAACTGTATCTCAAGAACTACAAAATGATTGTCATTTATACTTAACAAATTAACTAGTTTGAAATGTATTTCCTGTAAATCTGCCGCAAGCAAGCCTTTAAAACGAAAAGATAAATGTTTTAAACTTTGGTTAAAGAGAGGTTTGAGAAATTCCTTCACTATCAGGATAGAATATTTGCAGTTTTATGTTAATTGTGTGTATTTGATCAAAAATTCATATAATTGGACAAGTAATGCATTTCTTAGATCATTTCGGGCATTCCTTACTTTGTTTAAATTTTCTAAGAATACTGCTACAAACAGCAGTGCACTTTATAGGGGCTCCGTGTGGAAAGGCTATAATTTGGGAGTAGAAGGAAAATGATGCGTGGTTTTTACAAATACAAATCTGATTATTTTTGACTTTCCTGTCGAATCCTACTGCAGCCAAGCTCCCACTCTGTCTCTGCTAAAGAAACTTATTACCGCAGGATGATGATGCCACTACAGTGTTTTTGAGAAGATTTACTTTTTGAGTCTGGACAAGGGTAGAAAAAGTAAAAAGTGTGGGAGAAAATATAGACTTTTCAGACTCAAATTAGTAAATGAGGTGCTATGTTTGTTGCTTTGCTGGCCTGGTTTGTAATGTTCTACTTACCAAGCGCTGTGAATTACTGCTGAGGCGACATATTGCAGCTTCCCTGCAGCCTACATTCAGTCTGGATCCACACAGTCACATGTTGCGTCTAGTAAAGATAGAGAGAAGTTGTGCCATGTGTCTGCACTCAGCCAAAGGTTTATGCTTATGTGGCTACAGACTAATCCCGACATTCAGCGAGTGTTTTAACAGGACAACCTTTATGCATTCTTTAATAGATATCCTGCTAGAGTCATCAGTGTGACCCTTAATCTGCATTTTCAGCACAGGAAGTCTTATCAAACTAGTAGTTTGTTGAAGGCTGAAGGTGATGAGAGCGATAAGATGAGGAATGATAAATGAGGCGAGAGCTGGGAGTCAGCTACTTCTCCAAGCAAACCAACACATCATAATTAAACACGTATCAGTTTTACTCTCCGATTTCACTTGTTTAAGTCATCACTGTGCATTTCAAGTGGCTGTCAGAGTAAGAAGAAGGATAAATCTATATTACTGCTAATGAGATTTTCAGTTTTATTGCCCTGCGGGCCTCGAGTTGAAACATTGCTGAAATAACATAGATCAAATCCTTGCATCATTGTTACTCGTGCGTGAAATGCATATGACTTATAACTTTATTTCCGTGTTCTCCGCAGAGAAAATATACTTAAAATTCAACTGTAAACGTTCAACACAAGCGTCTAATTTGAGCTGATAATAGATCAAACGCTGCTCTGGTTTAGCCTGGATGAGAGACAGCTGGTGCAGAGACTGACGGTGTCTGTGGGGTGATTGCTGCTGACTTATCCATTGATTTTTCATCTCTGACGTTGACATTTGTGGTCCAGGGCTAAATGTCTCTTCAGTAGTAGTTTGTCTTGACATGCGCCACTGCATACGCTGTAAAAACGGGTTTGGGTAAAAGTCAGACATGACCAAGAGTCCAACCCGGTTTGGATCAGTTGAAGAAGCACGTAACTTCTGTAGCATCAACTAATTAACTGAAAACGGAGTTGGAAGAGTTTGGATTGACCTGAAACTCATCAAGAATTACATGTATGACATTTTTTAGCAGAATTTATTAACATCTTTTGTTCTCTGAAACTGAAAGTCTCCAAACATCATTCGCTTACTTCCATGTTGTTAGCTTAGCCACATGATTAAGTTATTAATACTGGTTATAATAGTTGCTTACTACTTATATTATTAGTCCAAAAAAACTTGGACTTATTTCCACCATACAGTGCCTCGCAAAAGTATTCTCATCTCTTTAACTTATCCAAATTTTCACATTATAACCACAACCTTTAATACGTTCTATGAGCCTTTCATCCATCCATGTATCAACTTTGACGTTGCCTACATGCCAACCAGTTGACATGTATAATACCCTACCATTATAAATGTAAACATATAAAGTTTGCTGAACTGGGAACTTTAACTAGAGATGCTTTTCACTCCAAGTGGGTTTGATGGGAATCGATGGATGAATACATGGAAAAGCACCTCATGCACACTGTTGAGTACGGTGGAGGATATGTGATGCTGCGGGCCTGTTTCTCTTCCAGAAGTCCTGCAACCTTTTTGGAGTGCATGTCATTATGAGCTCTTTGAAGTAGAAACCTGGTTACCTCTGCAAGAAGACTGATAATTGATCATTAATGGAGCTTTCCAGGCGGATAATGGTCCAAATCCTCTCAAAAAGCTGTTGAGAGGAGCTAAGAACAAGGGAGCCTAACAGAGTGAAGGATCCAACCTTGTGAAGCTTCCATGTATTTATCAGCATTAATAGGTTTTTAAAATTTTACAAATAAAATCTGAAAAGTGTGGCATTATTTGTATTCAGCCTCCAGACTAAAGTTGGATATTTATTGTAGTGTGTGTTTATTTCCATGACAACAATAAATTACACTTAATTATTCAAATTCAGAAACACTTTGTTGATCCCAAAGGGAAATTAAATGTTGTTGTAACTCACTTTAATTCAAGTTCTTCAGAGTTATTGTAGATGCTGAGGCTGTTGGCAGGAAAGTTTGTTTGATTTAGGAGTTGTTTGAAAAAGCTTTACTCTATTGTCAAAATTCTTATATTACCCAGCTCTTAGTTACATGAAAGCATCAATAAATATAAATTGATGCGTATGAGTAAATACAGTTACTTGGTGATAAAAATCACACTTTTTGCTGTAACTGGTGTAGAGACGTTGGAAAACTAGGCTGTAAAAGCTTAAGTACTGGTGTTTCCCTCCTTCATTTACTTCCTACACTCTTCATAGTGCGTTTTAACACATATTTAAACTATTTTCACCATGTTTTGCAGCTACATGGTGCTCCGGAAGGACGTCAACGAGATAAACAGCGAGATTCCTCCAAAAGCCGACGCCGGACTCAAAGCAGGTAACGCTCTGAGAAAGGGATCTGACTGAACTGGCATGGCACGTTCCCAGTTCCAGACGTCTTGTGGGCTGGATCTGTGTGTTGGCACACTTGGCAGGAAAAAAAAAACGAAACCACTCAGATTGGGTTTCTGTGAGGCAGAATGAAGAAAGATAAGTTTTTGTTTTTGTTCTGAGAAAAAGCCAGCGATTGAGAGCTCCTGTCGCTCTCAAATCTATTTTTATTTGAAGTCCTCACAAAGCTTCTCCTGCAGTGCCCTCGTTTTTTGTTTTTTTTGTTTTTTTTCTATTCCCCCCCCTTTCTGCTGTGCCACTCTTACTCTCTCTCGTAATTACAGCCAGGAAACGGCTTTGCATTATCTCAGCCGAGCTATTCACAGGTGGTTGACTCACAACTGTGATGTTTTCGACTATACAAAGCCTGAAACGAGCATCTGCCGAGGTAGTGAGGCCCCACCTGTGACACGCCGGCTCCTGCAGACACTGATACATTTTAATCTTTCAGATTTAAAAATGTCTAATTTTAAAGCTGGTGCATGTTTAGGTAGTTTTCTTTTTTTTTTTTTTTTTGTGCGTTTCTGACAGCGTTGGATGCGGCGTTGGAGTTCCAGCGGAAACAAGCCGTGCCCGGCTCCTGGAAGACAGAAGTGAAAGAGGAGAGCTCCAGCAGCGAGGAGGATGACGAGGATGAGGAAGACGAGCAGGAGGAAGACGCCAGCGGGGAGGAGGTGGAGGTTAGCACCGGCACAGCGAGCCATCGCTGCATCCTCCGAGTGGAAATGATCCTCATCTGCTCTCTTGTTTCCTGTCTGCAGGAGGAGGTGGAGCCGTTCCCAGAGGAGAGGGAGAACTTTCTGCAGCAGCTCTACAAGTTCATGGAGGACAGAGGTGAGTGAAGCGACGAAACGACATTTACAGGAATCATTGGCGTCGCAAAACCTCAACCTGCTGAATGTTTCTCTTCTGTAGGAACCCCCATCAACAAGCGGCCTGTTCTCGGCTACAGGAACCTGAACCTCTTCAAGCTCTACAGGCTGGTTCACAAACTGGGAGGCTTTGACAACGTGAGTGTTTGACTGTCACTCATCACATTTCAGTTCAGCCGTGTTTGATTTGTTTCTCTGATTTAAATCTGCCATCGTGTGTCGTTGAACAGATTGAAAGCGGCTCTGTTTGGAAGCAGGTCTACCAGGATCTGGGCATCCCTGTGCTCAACTCGGCCGCTGGCTACAACGTCAAATGCGCTTACCGCAAGTACGTACTAATGCCGAAAACCACACAGTAGCTACATGGATAGATACGTACAAAACCCTAAAATAAATTCATCATAATATCCTACTGCCTTTGATGAACTCACTTATGCCATATCCATTGGCACACCTAAGAGTTTCTATGAAATAAATGTGGTTCAAATGTTCAAATTTTATAAAATGGATCAGAAAATGTTAAGTGATTCACAACCTCCTGTTTTCCCTTGTGTATAAATCTGAGACTCTCACTCATCAAAATAGGAAAGACAAGAGAGCATCTCTAAAAAGATACAAGGAAATGACTGCTGACTAAAATCTATCCATATTACCCAAATCTTCAACTCTCTTACATTATCTACTGTACCATGCACTGACACAAGGCATTAAGCCATTTTCAAATTATTTCACTTTTAGACGTCTCTTAGGGTTTTTCTAAAAATCACGATTATAAATTGTATGATTTCTGTCCCTTTTCAGTTTTAGTTCGTTCCTTTCTCACTTTCTTTCCGTCTCTTTTTCTTGCTCTCTTTTCTGATAAATTTATGAGACATGTTTTATTTTGCAGGTATCTGTATGGATTTGAGGAGTACTGCACCTCCACTGCCATCACATTCAAGATGGACCTTCCTTTGAAGCAGGGTCCCAAGAGAGAGGTGAAGTCTGAGGAGGAAGCAGGAAGAGCGGCCCCTACTGCCTCCATCTCAGAGGAGCAGAAAACCCAGATGGACGGAGAACTTTGCACTCCACCATCTGTTCTCTGCAAGGTACCTTTTCGTCGGGACACTTTGAGTAAAATGTATTTTCACTTTGATGCCTGGTTGGGTTTTAAATAAAACCCTCCCTTTCTCACACATAGGAAGAAAAAACAGACTTCACCCAAATCAAATCAGAGTCTGAACCATCCAAAACGGAGGGAAAGGACGATGACGACGACGACGAAGAAGAAGAAGAAGAAGAAGAAGGAGGAGGAGGCGCTTCAAAGGCGGACGCAGACGAGGGGTCGTCTACATCCCGCCTCGGAGGTGATAACATAAAAACGGAGCAGGATGACGAGCAGGAGAGCAAAGATAACTCCGGGTAAGTTCTCTCATCCACACAGCTTTATAACAACCGTCCCCGTAGTCCAAAGACAACCTCACCCAAAGAATGTTCATAGTTTGTTGCCAGGCCTTCCCTTTTACTTTGTCAAAGCTACAAAGTCTATTATCAAATAAGGAGCAGTGATCCTTGTGACCTTAACGACACTAATACCCACAATCCTTCTCTGCCTGTCTAACCAAAGAGCTCTCCTCTCTCTCCTCTAACTAAGCTCTCGCCCTCTGTGCTATTATTATTTTGGTGGCTTGGTCGGGATCAGCTGGCAGAGGCCTGTTAGAGCGCCTGACTGCTACCTTCCACCTGGCCTTTCACGCTGTGCTCTCTGTGTCTCTCTGTGTTAGACTGCTTAACCGTGGCAAAGCCTCACCCACTCAGTGCACACAACATGGCTGTGCACACCTCCAGATCTCTTTCTGTCTCACTGCCTCTCCTCCCCTGCCTTCTCTCTCTCTTGGCTTCCGATCCTCAGCTCTTGTTAAATGTTCCATGTGTATGAATGTCGTCACTGAGACATCAACCCTCTCAGCGCTTCAGATGCAGTAACCTATAGCGACACGAGGACCTTGGTGCATAGGCGGATGGATGTGCTGACTTTGGTTCGACCTCCTGTGTTGATGTGAAGGAGGGCAGATTACTACTTCCTGTCTTTAAAAAGCTCTTAGTGTCTCCCTCTGTGTAGACACAGGTGTGCTGCATAGGTCTGTGGGAACTCTCCGTTTGTTGCGTTTTGTCGAGATCGTGGACTGTTCGGTAACTTGCAGGCTGTCAGATTGAGTCTGTGGACAAGCCAGAGGCTGATCTGATGTCTTCTGATTGCAGCTCGTCTCTTTGATGTGTGCGCCGTCTAGTCTGGACTCTGTGAGGGCTACATTTGAATCCAGTAGCAGATTTCCATTGTGTGTGGCCAGCAGTATTTGTTTTACAAGGAGGTTAAACTGTGCTGTTATTTTGGGGTAGAAATAAGTAATTGGAGAGTAGGGGTGGACAATATGAACTAAAAGTTTATCACAAGATTTTGTGGTACAGTTCTGATAAAAGTGACAGTAAAAATGATTTATAGCTGTGGCTTTAGGACAAGAGTAATCTAAAGTGTGATTTGTATCTCTAAACTGCACACAGTCACTGCATTTAATCATATTTTCAAATGTATTGATATTTATTGATGCTGTCATTGAACAAACAGTGGGGGAAAAAGTCAAATTAATCTCGACAATATAGACAGTTTTGGGTTGTTTTTAAACATCATTCATTGTAATTTACTGTGACAAATTCTTTTCATGAGATAAAATTTATCACAATAAATTATTTTAAAATGAATGGTCCTGATAACCATTAATATACTCAATATCCACTACAATTAACTGGTTTTATTTAGGGGCATCTGAGTAAAACAGGCAGAATACAAGTGCATGTCATACATGTCGGATTTTTATTTTATTTTTTATTTTTAGGCTTGTTTTGTTATTTAATATTTGCATTCCTTGTGAGTGCCACGACCTGGTTTCCGTAGAAACAGATAAACAGCAACAGGACTGCTAAACACAGCATTTTATTTTGTGTTTGTGGTTATAAATCACTTCCTGGTGTACAGAATTGCAATGTCTATATTTTCTATGAACGTAAAACTTAAAAGTCATGAAACATGAGTCCCTGGTTTGAATTTAAAGGGGTTGCAGGAAATATCCGATGTGGTGACTCTAGCCATACTGACTTGTTTTGTTTATGTTGAAGAGAACAGCTTTTTTGCATTCCTCGTGGATTGTTATTTTGAATATGCAGTGAGTAGAAAAAAAAAATGTTTTCATATATTTATTTATCAGTGTTGAAAGTACGGCACTTAAAATAGCTGCTGTTTCCTTTGATCATTTGTTTCTGTGCCAACAGAAACCAAACGGCTGTGAGTAGACATGCAAAGTCTGATGTTTTCACTGAGTCTATCCCAGCTTGTTTCCTCTCTGAGTGTTAAAAGACGTCATGTTGGTGGAACCAGAGAACATTGTTGTGGATCTCAGTGCCTCCATCAGTGCTACAGACCTGCTTTAAGTTGCTGCTGAGCTACCCTGCAGAGCTGCGTTTTGCTGACCTAACTTGCTCTTGTGTCCCTTTGCATCTAAAACTCTGACTGCACTGCCAGACTAGCCTCCAGCTTTGTTTCCCACTAGCTCCTTCTTGTGGCTGCTTTATTCCTCACATTGTGTGTTTGTGTGTGAATGAGAATCTCAAGCGCTTCATGTTTGGGTGTAGGGCTAGTTCAAAGTAGTGTTTTTATCCCCTTTCTCATTGAGTTTTGCCATACAAGAATGTTTTACTTGCTGAAACACATACTGTACTGTGCCCTGTTATGGGTTACTATTAATGATGTAGTTGTTTATCCTGCAGCTTGCCTCAGTTATACTGGACTGGAGTTAAAGCAGGACAAGAACAGGAAGTTAATGTTTCTTTATAGATAAAGGCCATGTGTTGTAATGGGACAAGGCAGGCAAAGGGTGGAGCATATAGTCAGGCTTCTGTGCAGCAGTCAGTAGGTTGGGTGGATGGATGTGAGGGTGGGTCTTTGTTGTCATAGACATAGAAGAATAGATGCTGCGTTAGCACCCGGATCACACGCCAACGTCTACGGCATACTGTGAGTGGCATTTTTATTGAGATGCAAAGACTGCACTGCACATTTCTGCTGAATGGGTTTAGGTCGAACGCTGTTCATGTTTGATACTGTGAAGCGTCGTCACCACAGGTACTGTGTTATTTACATGGCTGAAATACTGAACATCACCAAGAGTGGTAATATAATAGAAAATGACTGTAATCAGTTTAACCATGTAATGCATATTCAGCCATAGTTTTGCAATTAAATGTTTTTATTATTGTTGTCCTTAGCATAATGATAGAATTAAGAAGTTAAGAAGTTACTAGTTACATTAATGAATGAATTTAAACCACTTATTTTTCAGATATCAGTACAGTACTTTATTATTAATGGTCTATAATAATAATTATAATAATAATCATAATAATAACCACTGTTATTGTTACGACTAGTATAATTATTATAATATTTGTTATTATTACTAGTTACTATTTTACTATAGCTTATTATAACGGCTTATTACTGTTGTGATCAAAATACTATGAAAACACTAATATTCTTAGTAAATTAAACCACTTAATTTTATTTTTCTGATATCAGTACAATACTTTATTATTAATGGTCTATAATAGTAATAATAACCGCTGTTATTATTACTACTGCTATAATAATTACAATGAAATTTCTATTAATATTATTAGTTGTAGTAAAATAGTTATGCGCTTATTATTATCATAAGAGTATGAAAATACTAATATTAGCAAATTAAATCACTTAATTGTATTTTTTAAATTACATTAATTATTATGAATATTAATTAGAATTGTATAATGCTAACATTAAGATCACTATTAATATTTTTAATAATTACATTTATTTTTAATTTGTCATTGCAAGACTTAGTTTTAATAATATTGACAATATTATCATTATTATTATTTAAATTTTTATTAATATTAGAATTTGTGATAGTGACATCTAGCAAAAAAGATCAGTGTTCTGCATCCACCCATGAAATTAAAAACAAAAGTTAAACTCTGTACAGTTTAATAATTTAGTTCAGCTATTTTGTATATAAAATGTTTTGTTTATTTACTTTATCTTTAGAAAATCTCCTTTCCAAGCGTACTCGCTTTGTTTTCCGAGGAGAACTTGCCACTCACAATATGGCGGATTCACTGGCGCGTCATTTCTACGGGGCATGGAAGCCAACGTGGCGTCTAGCTCTCCTACGTCTATGGTTGTGGTGTTCAATGGGGGCAGCCTAGGGCCAGGAAGTGCTGAACTGTTTTTCTTGCAGGGATGACAGCAGTCAGGAGGGGGAGGAAGGGGAGGAGTTTGAGTGTTACCCCCCGGGGATGAAGGTGCAGGTGAGGTATGGGCGAGGCCGCACTCTGAAGACGTACGAGGCCACTGTGAAAGAGGCAGACGTGGAGGGGGGAGAGGTGCTCTACCTGGTGCACTACTGTGGCTGGAACGTCAGGTAAGACAGGACCTGGGGAGAAATCACCTCTGTACACCCTAAAAAATAATAATAATTCAACAAATTTTATTTATGAACTTGTAACTCAGGTCAGGGGATCACCGCTACATGGGTATCCCTGCAGGAGCAACAGATTTATCCTTCACCCCTAGACAGTGCTCTGATTCTGGAGAATAGTGCGCCATCTAGTGGCAGAAACAGAACTGAGCATTTTGGGTTGACTCCTGGCTCAGTTTTGACTCAATCCTCTGTCTTTCTATCCCCCAGAAGTCTGTCTTTCTACAAAAATAAAACTAAAACTACAGACAGGATGATGATTTTGTAGCCAATCAGAGTTCTAGAATTGATCCAATCAGTGGTTTTGGTTGTAAATAGTCTTTTAATTCCCATGAGCTACTCTGGATCTTTTGAATGGCCAAACAAAGTGCTGCTACACTCACCTCTACCTCTCAACCCTCTCCCCCCTCCCCTGCGGGTTAGGGTCAATGCAGGAGCGTTAGGGCTAACCATGACCCAGAAGTCAACTGGTGCAATCAGCATTTCATCGTCACAGTGTTGTTGTGTGGTCCTCCAGCACTCTTTAAGACAGTGGGATGTTCTCTGCATCGTCTCTGTTGTGTGTGATGTCGTAAAACGTTTCATTTTCCACTCACACGACCCCCACACCGATCCAAATAGCTCCCCTTGGTACCTGTGGAAACATAATTTGTGTGGTGGCTGGTGTGTTTCTTTCCTCATCGTAAAGGTTTGTCTTTTTCTACATGATTCCTTTGGATTTTCTCCGTTTGCTGTTGAAGCTTTATTGTGTCACAGCAACATGTCGGTTGGTTGGGCGGGTGTCTGTGTGGTGGCTGCTGTCAGCGTGGATGTTTGGCTCTTTGTCGATGACCTGAATGTTAAAGCTGTCTTGTCTCTTGTACTGATTTTTGTTCTTTTTAGATATGACGAATGGATCAAAGCGGACAAGATCGTGCGCCCGGCAAATAAGAACGTCCCAAAAATAAAGCACCGCAAAAAAATAAAGGTACGACCGACTGTGCGGAGGGCGGGCACGTTTTCGGCGAGAACCGGGTTCTGATGTTCGCGGAACAAAACGCCGGCTGTGTTTTGAATCCCGACAGAACAAAGCTGAGAGGGAGCGCGACCGACTGGAGCGGCTCGGTGACAGGGAGGTCCTCGGCCCGAACCGTGTCCCGCGCTCCAAATGCGGCCTGAGTCACGACGTCTTTTCCAAAATGAACGAGAGCGAGGACAAAGGGACTCAGCAGCCTCCAGTCAAGTCGATAGAAATCACATCGATCCTCAACGGATTGCAAGGTAGCAACACTCGAAATGTGGCTCTACGTAGAAGTTTACTTGTGCTCCCCATCTGCAGGAATGTCCTGATGATTTTGGGCTTCCAGCTATTCAGGATACCATTGCTTATACTGTTGCTTTGCAGCAAAAATGTCCTGGGTTTGAATCCTGGCATGGGGCCTGTCTGCATGCATATGTCCAGGTATTCAGGCTTCATCCCACCGTCCCAAAAATATGAATGTTTGGTTAATTGAATCTCTGAACGTCCCTTGGGAATAACTTTGCATGCATGTTTTTAATGTCCTGTTCGACCTGTCCTCTGTGTGCCTAATGACCCCTGCAAGGACCAGCCAGATGTTTCTTGACAAGTTGAAGAAAATCCATATCATTTCAATACATCAACAAAGTTCTAACATAATTCTGTCTGGAAATTCAGACACTTTTATTACTTAAAAAAAAAAAACACAATTTCTGTGCCATCTGGAATTTAGTTCTTGCATTTTCCCAGTCTGGATTGGTTTTGGAAAAAATAAAAATGCACCATCGGATGTGCATTTTACTTTCACAATAATGGTTTTTCTTTTCAATTTTTTGTAACATAAAAAATAAAAAAATTTAAAAAAGGAAGGAAGTGAAACTCAGTAACTCTGGTGTTACAACAGTTCCCACTTTAGCTTAAAACATGGTGGGTCCTGGATTCTTCTGTATTTTTCTAGCCACTTTTTTTCCATCAGAAGGGGTAAATCAGATGGCTGAAACTTGGGACACAGTTGGGTTCTGGAATGGATAAAGCAAGCATTAATTAAAACGTAAATTATTTAGAAAGACCCTGATCACAACCGTTTTGGAAATGCGCTTAAAGCTTGATTCAATACAGAATTACCAATACTGCCACAAAGAGCGGTCAGATATCCTGGCAGAACTATGAAGCGTCATAATTGTTGCACAGCATGTGGCCAATGTGCAACTTACCAAGAAACATTTATAATAGTGGTTAGACCTTGTGTTGGGTAAAATAAAGTCACAATTCAAACTCGTTTGCCCCATTTTTGTTTTTTTCAGGTCATTGAATTGGTCCATAGTTGCATATTTATTTCCACATTGGTAAAATAAATTATTGAAAGCACACAATAATTTACATTCATGTCTGAACTAATGACTGTATTTTATCTTTCTGACCATGACTTTTTCTTTTTTGAATATGTGCAAAAAGAAATACTCGAACCATGAAGCTTAATATCAAAACTTTTATAAATTCAAGGGTACAAACTCATCAATATTCCCATTCTTATCCAGTTACATAATCTTACATTCATTACATGTATATTCCACACATATAACAACTAACGCCATATTCAGTAGTTAGCCCATCAATGCAGTTTATATTTAATTTTAACTACAGTGGATGGATAATCATTATTTCTTTCAATGTCACCAGCATCAATAACAAAAACGCCAACAATAATTGACTAATGTACATTAAATCCAGTAACTGTGAACTTCTCCTGTCTTCCGACTTATTCTTGAAGATAACAGAACTTTTCGTCTTGCAGCTTCCGAGATGTCCACAGATGAGAGCGAGTGCGAGGATGAGGAGCAGGAGCACGACGAAGAGGATCAGCCCAGCAGCAGCGCCAGGCGAGGTCCGACAGAGCCGCCACAAGCCTCCGAGCGCTGGGAGAGCGGCGTCCCCTCCGAAGGGTCCAAAGCATCCTCCGTCTCCGGGAAGAGCCTGGAAGCTGCTGGCGCAGAAAGCCCGGACGTTGGGAAGCTCAGAGGCCAGCCGGAGACGGAGAGAGAGGCGAGCACCAGGAAGAGAAAATCGGATGGTGCCGCCGAGAGGAACACGAAGGGTCTATCCAAAGTAAAGACCAGGAACACCAGGAGTGCCGACTGGTTGCCGAGTGGCTCGCCTCGGAAGCTGGAGGACAGGGGGGCTCTGTCCAGCAGCAGCTCAGAGGACGAGAGCGCAGCGCTGGCCGACATCCCGGCTGAGGAGAACGAGCGGAGCCGCGCCAAAACCAAAGGTTCCCCTTCCAAGAAGTACAACGGCATGAAGGAGAAGAGCAAAGCCGGGAGGCAGGCCGGCTTCTGGGAGATTCCCGAAAAGAAGGCTAAGCCATCTGGGAATGCCGAGGAAAAGGCACCGGCCGTTCGGCCCAAAGGACAAAAGGACGTGTGGTCCAGCATTCAGGCCCAGTGGCCTAAGAAAACGCTGAAGGAGTTGTTCTCCGACTCGGACACGGAGGCAGCCAACTCTCCTCCGCCCCCCGTCCCATCGTGTCTGGATGAATCCGGGGCGGACCAGGAGGCGGGACCCGAGGACGAAGGCTCCGAGGAACAGCTGGAGAACGACAAGCTGCAGGAGTTTCCCAGCAGCGGGAGCAACTCCGTGCTCAACACCCCTCCTACAACGCCAGAGTCGCCCTCCGGAGGAGGAAGCACGGTGGAGGAGACTAGTCAAGCACCGCCTCCTTCTCCGCCTTTGCTGCCTCCCGCCTTACCCTCAGAGCCGGTTTCCCACAATCTGCCCCCAGATCCGACTCAGGAGGAAGCAGCGGGGGGGCGCAGTGAGACGGACAGCAGCACGGTGGAGGTGGAGAGTCTGGGTGGAGAGCTGCAGGAGCTCCCGCAGGATGACGGCACAGGTAGGCCTGTCCGATAAACGATAAATCAATTAATCGCACGATAAATTAAACCTATCGACCTAATTTTAATTATCGGCTTTATCGTCCCTTCCTGTCTTTTTTTCTTTCTGTTGATGACACTGAATGAAAAAAGGCTCAGCTCCACTGACCCTCCCTTCCTCATTTCCTTAGTGTAATGTCCAGCGCACACTACACGAGTTGTTGGTGGACTGTCGGCCCATTTTCAAAACCTGACAGAAATCCTAGGTATAACGGTTCGATCGGGTTCGTAGTGCCCTGTGGTGTCCAGCAACATGGGCACGAAGTAATGGCTACTAGTCCAGTTAACTAATTTTAAAACCAGCCATTAATCAATGCTTTACTAGAATCTACCTGTGACGATCCATGACGATCCACCATAACACACCACATCATCACAGGATGATCGGCTACAAAATCACCAGCGGCCAACGTTCTAAGATTGTCATAAGGGGAAAATAGGAGCAAAAAAAAAAATCGTGTAGTATGATCTACTGCATTAGGTAGTTGGATGTGCCCATCTTCTCTATTTAAATCTAGTGATTACTGAAGGGCAAAACAGTATACAGACTTCATATCTTCTCTCTTTTGGTTGAATGAAGTATTTATTTCCACTTTGGCTTTATGTTGTTTAGTTTTTATTCAAGTACGTTTTTTGTTAATGGAGACTGAGAATCCTTTTTGTTTTTATTTTTGGTTGTTTTGTTTAGTTTATAAGTTCCAGTGTTATGTGTTCTTTTGAGAATAAAGTGTATCTACAGAACAGCTGAAAACTTACCGGGTTTATCAACTGCAGTAGCAATTTGGCTCCAACTCCTCCCCTTGTGATTTCTATATTCTTTGCACAAAATGTTGAATAAATAGGAAATCACATGCATTATTAGTCATTTCCATTAAATCAGTGTCAAAAGGTCTTGAAACAATATTATCGTTTATCACAATAATTTTTTAGACAATTAATCGCTCTGCAAAATTTGTTATTGTGACAGGCCTAGGCACAGGTTCCCCCTCCAAGGTTTACGACGTCAGTCTGTCCTGCAACAGCAGCAGCAGCCTAGAGCTGAGCAGCAGCAGCCAGCAGGACAACGAGCAGAAGTCCAAAGGTACAAACGCTGCTAAACCTGTGGTCTCAAACTCCAGGCCTCCAGGGACAGAGTTCTGCAACTTCTAGTTTGTTTTCATTCCTGATGGTCCCGTAGAATCGGTTCGATTGGGGACCAAAACTGCAACATTTGTTATATTGTTAGCTGCTGTGTTTTGCTTTCACAGTACAATGTGTCAAAGAAACCAAACCCTTAAATAAACCTGTTCCCCCTTACCGCCTGTGGTGGCACTGCACCAAGAACTACTGTAGGAAATGACACAAAAACCTCTAAGAAGACATGGACCCAACTTCCTTCTTTACAAGATGTAAAAAATTTGCAGTCCCATCAGTTTTTTGTCTTTGGTAAAAGACCGCAAGCCATTTCTCCCGCTAGTGATAGACTCACGTGTGTGTTTTGGTTGTATTTACCCAGAATGCCCTGCTCTGTAGTCCATTTCCTGCTTTTGGAGAGGTCTTCTGTCATGCTTTGAGACCACTGTCCTAAATCCTTCCTTATATTGTTACTCTTATTTAAAGTGAACTGCTGAGAAGCTGAAATCTCTTTTCTAAATCTGTTTGTAGCATCTGTGAGTCAGAAGAGGCAGAAGGAATCACAGACAGGTGGAGTCTCGAAGAAACACAAGCCTAACCGCAAAAGCCTCGGTGTGCCTCCCAAAAGGAACAGGAAAGCAGGTAGGAGATCAAAACCGTCTGAGTTTAAATGTAATCTGAAGAAGTTTGGAAAAATAGACATGAAAAGTTAGCTTTATGCTGTTTCTATTTTTGAAAATGTGCCCCCTTTTTATCATTTCATCAGGTTAGCAAAGTCTGTAGATCACTAAGATTAGTCCAGCTTCATCCATCCATTTATTCCATCCATCTTTTACTTAATTCATTCAAATAATTTATCTCTTTTTCACCTATTCTGTGCATCCCTCCATCTAGTGTCTGTATCTATCCATCCATCCATCCATCCATCCAGCAGTCTGTTCTTTTCATCCATCAATGTCAGCCCAATTCTTTCTCCATCATCCATCACATTCATTCAATCATTTATCCATTTCTTTCTTGTATTTCCAGTTGACTTTCTTTCCATCTATTTGTATTAATCAACTATTTTTTCCTTTCATCTCTTCATGTCTTCCCCAGCTAACAGCAGTGACAGCGAGGACCAGTCTGTTGTCGAAGGCTCGGCCAAATCGGCCGCCTGTAAGAACACTTCATCGGACCTGAAGGCCGCCGCGTCGCCCAAGTATCACGGCCGATCCCCGCCCTCCAGCCATAAGTACCACAAGCAGGGAGACCCCGATCACTCCCAGCACCGAGACAGCCATGGAAGATCGCCGCGCGTCTACAAATGGAGTTTCCAGATGTGTAAGTAAAAGTTTCCTGACCTCTTTAAGTTTTTCATTTAATGTACCTTCTGGAGCCTCTTAAAAACTTTGACGAAAATTTATAAAGAAAAAGTTTTGAAAATTCTGAAGTTTTTTATTTTTCAGCTTGATTTTTTATTTTTTTTTCCCTATGGAATAATTACATTTCATTTCCACAACAAGGTGACACTAAAAGCAGGAACAAAATTATTGCTCTTTAGAAATCATAATAGATTTCCTGTAGTAGATATTTATCAAAAATTATAAGATGTATTTTAACAAAAGATAAGGTAATATTTGTGCCTCTAAACTTGTTTTATTTAGTAGAGGGGGTACAAATGCAGCTGCACTTTTCAGATTTTAAGTTGTAAAGATGTTAAAGATTATTTCCTTCTTTGTGTTGCACAGCAAAAACTCAAAATCTTACCAAGTATCTTTGGTCTAGTTTCTAGTGGAAATATCTTCGTACTCTTTAAATAAGGAAAAAGTAGGTCACAAGTAACTTGCCTTAAGCTGTTTGTAAGTCAGTAATTCATTAATATTGATGAAAAATTATTAGTTATGAGTAAAATAATCTGCCAGTGGAAGAGGAGATTTTCTCCTGTTGTAAGTTAAAATGTCTTGTTCCACTGGCAGACTATTTCGCTTAATAGACAATACTTTTTCATCAATATTAATGAATTATTGACTTAAAACAAGCTCCTGTTTCTGGCTGAAAACTTACTTGTATGTTCGTTTTGTCTTATTTCAAATGTACAAAGATATTAGCACTAAAAACTAGACCAAAAATACCTGATTTTGTGTTTTTGCATTGTAAGTCCTGGAGTTCCACCATGCTGCAACGTTTGGATACATTCCTTCTTTAGTACACCCAAATTAAATGAATGGTTAACTACCAGGCATTTACTAAACTTGCTGATGTTCCAAGGAGGAATTTCAGCCGTTTGGTTCAGGTTTGTTGGAGCAGGAATGCATGAAAAGTTGCAGGACGTCGGCACTAGAGGATAGACATAAAAATGCGACAGGGTTCATGGAGTGTTGGTAATTAATTATCAAGGCACTGTACTTTGTGTTACTAAACTCATTTGTTTTGTTTCCACTTAGCTGATCTGGAAAAGATGAGCAGTCTGGAGAGGATTTCGTTTCTTCAGGAGAAACTGCAAGACATCCGGAACCACTACCTCTCCCTGAAGTCGGAGGTGGCCTCCATCGACAGGAGACGGAAACGCATGAAGAAGAAGGAAAGAGAAAGTAAGTCAGCTCTCTGAATCTCTGCTGGGTCAAAATACAGGGGAAATAAAAAAAAATAAATAAATAAAAAAACACTTTCTAAACTTTTACTTTTTCTTTTTTCAAACCTGAAGGTGCAGTGGCCGCTTCCTCCTCCTCCTCTTCCTCTTCTTCACCATCCTCCAGCTCGCTAACAGCAGCAGTGATGCTGACGCTCGCCGACCCTCCGGTACCATCTTCGTCGTCCTCGTCTCAGAACTCCGGGGTATCAGTGGAGTGCAGGTGACAGGACGAAGCCGCGAGGAGCCACCGCACGAAGCACTTAACCAGCACCCCGAGGTCGCCGCCCCCTTTCCTTTTCAGCAGGATGGCGAGACGGACCTGACCGGTTCTCCGCTGCTGCTGGGGCACAAAGAACCGGACGAGAAACAAGCACTATTTTCTACTGACAACTGTTTCCTCGGCAAGCTATCCGCACTTAAGTGCACTTTTACGAAGATTGTGTTAAAGGAGAGGGAGGTTGATGGGGGTGAAAATTGTCAAAAAGATTATCTAGATTTCACTTTAGCGCTTTGTTTCTTTTTAGGGCTGGGCGATATGGTTTAAAAATAAATTATGCAATTTTTTTCATACCAAATCCAATTTCCAATTTTAATCGACTTGTTTTTGCTCTTTCTTTTCCCAAAAAGAAGAAATTACATACAATACTTTCCAAAAATGACTTTTATTTCCTTCTGTGATGCAGTCGGGCCAACCTATGATAAGCTTTGTTTAATTATGAGGATATAGTCATAATTTTTGAAGAACATAGCGCAATTTTACCCAAAAAAAAATCTTAAAATTACTAGAAAAAAAGTTTTTAATGAGAAAAAACCTTAAGTTATCAGGATATGATATGACCACCTCATGTTGTGTAGTTCTTTCTTCAAAATGCACAGATGTTTGCACATTTTAAAGACATGCTGTTTATAATAATTTCTTACTTCTTAAACTTATAGCACTAACTTTGCAAAATGCTTAGTGTTCCTCATTTTATCTGTAAAATGATGGTACACGTTAACGGTGTCTTCTAGCCTATCTAGTACTAGATAGTACTAGTGTCCTTTTATCTTCTAAAGATAAAAGATTCCTCATTTTACGTTTAAAATGAGGAATGTTAATAAAATTAATACCTTATTCTTCTAATATTACGACTTTATTCTCATAATTAAAAAAAAAAAAACTCTTGGCCTGATTCTGATATTTTGCCGTAGGATTGAAATGAATTCAAAGTCCAAGTAAACAGAAGCGGTAAAACATGCTTGTCAAACAAAATGGCCGCCCTGGGAGTGCTGACATCACTCTGAACTATTGAAACTGAAGGAGAGCGCATTGGTAAAGAAAAAAATCCAAATTTTCCAAAAAATTCAATTAATCGATACAATCGATTTATCGTCCAGCCCCATTTCTTTTTATCGAGTTATTTTCTTTACAAGCAATAATGGCTTCCATTCGTTCGAAGTTGGTATCGAAACATTTCCGCTCCGTTCTGCGGATCGCCACCTCTCTGGCACTAAGGGCAAACAAAACGTCAAACAAAACCACATTTCTCTGTCCACGCTCTTCATCTGAAGCGCTCCGTTCTCGCGTGCAGGAGGAAGGAGGAGGTTTCCGCCCAGCTCATCTAACTCCACCAGATGCAGATGGAAAAATGCAGTAGTGCCTTTTGCTCTTTTTGAGAATGACGGTCCGTTTTCTAAAAAAAAAAACTAAAAAAAAAAAATACCCAACACACTGACGAGCGGCTTGTGAGTGAGCGGCCAGCGAAGGGCTACATCTGACGGATGCTTTCAATATGTTTGAGAATCTACTACTGAATACTCATCCATCTTGGGTATCACTGTGGAGTGATGAAATCGGTGAATGATCACTTCATCTATTTTTTTTAAAGCCTGTCTGCTTTAACTCGTCACGTTTTCTCTCAGTCCATTAACTCTCCTGCCCTTCCGTCTTCGCTGAAGATGTGACTCTGCAACTGCATCAAACTAAATACAGCTGCATCCCAATACATTAGAATATAATCAAAAGTTTGATTTATTTCACTGTATAGATTCATTTTGCTCAGAGTAATATGTTTTTATACTTTAGGTGATTCTGGCTTGCAGCTATTAAAACACTAAAATTATATAAGACCAATAAAAATGGATTTTTAGTGCAGAAATGTTAGGTTGTGACCTACAAAAGTTAATTGCTGAAGAAGCTGTTCACAAGGGGGTTTTATGCAAACATATCGGAAAGTTTTGTGGAAGGAAAATGTTGAAAAAAGGGGATAACTGAAGTCTTATGATTAAAGATTATTTCTTTTTGAAGCTCTTTTTGCATGAATTGCAGTATTCAACCTGCTGCACTGCTGAGGTGTAATGGCGACTTTCGTCCCGTCTTTAATTGTCTCCCTCTTGACAACATTGATTAGATTCTTTGAGGTTTAGGTCAGGTAAATCTGTTCTCTAATTAAATGACCAGAAGTTGGTACTTTTGACAGTGTAATCGAGTTAGAAGTCATATGACACAGCACTCCAAATCATCTCTAGTAACTTTAAAGTGTGCCTTTTCTCTCAGTTTTTCCTTCCACTCAACTTTCCATTAATATGCTTGAGCATAGCAGCAGTCCACAGTTTGTGAATCTCCTCCAAACTCTTCACTATGCTTTACTTCATGATATTCTCAGTAGGCTTCTTTCCCTGCTGCTTGTACATCTCTTTCTATCACAGTTTTTCCTTCCACTGAACTTTGCATCGATTTATTTAGAGGCAGCACTCTGTGAACATCCAGCTTCATACAGTAACATTTCTGTAATAAAAAACCTTTTTTGGGGGGGAGGGGTCTAATGGAAATGTTCAAATCTTTTGTGAAATTGAATATTTTCATTATTTGTAATCAATATCTTGAGCAAAGATAAATGTTTGAAAAGTTTCGCTGTGTAAGAAAACTAGAGTTTTTACCTGCCTTACTGTCATAAACAAACTTTTCAATCATATTCTGATTTATTGAGATGCATTTTGTATTTTAGTACTGCCTAAAACATTAAAAACAAGAGTCCAACATTTGCAGTATTTCAAATATGAATTTTTACATTTGTTTGTTTTTTTGCCACAGTAAGACTTTTCTGATTTTACTCTTGAACAGCAACAGTATGTAGGCCTGTTCTCGTCATCGTCCCTACAGAAACCGTTCCCTGTACTCCGAGCAGAATAAAGGTAGAGGTATTGTAAATGTGCATTTATATCACAAAGTGACGTTTGTGTGAACATTTCTAACGACATCCCTCTGGTGTTTTCCTTTGTATAAATCCCCCCCACTGTATGATATCCCGAAGTTACATTTTTGTCCAGCACTTGTATGTAATTGTATGCTTTTGTTATACATTTGTATATTGAGAAGTGTTTTGAGTCGAGCTATTTAATATCTTGCACTGTTAATAACATGTACTTTTCTGTACAGACAGTTTTACGGTTTTAACTGTAGTCAGAGTGTAAATACTGAGGGTTAGAGCATGTTTATTCTCCATGAATTTAATTTTTTTTCTTTCCTTCCTTTATGTTCCGCTCAGTCCAAATCCTGATTGTCCTTTTGTATTTTTCCTCTTTTTTTATTTTATTTCATTTTTTTTATTTCATCTTCTCTGTAGTTTGTATTTTCTTTAGTCTTTGTTTGATTTTGCTTGTTAGGGAAGAATTATGGTGTTGGATGCGGCTGAACTGTTTTCCAACAAAATTCGGCCTGAAGCATCGTAGATTAAGACACAGTAAAGGAGCTTGTCTGAATAAAAACAAATAAATTTAAAAAAAAAAAAAGCTCTGTAGTATTTATTAGGCTCATCTGATGATGGTCATTGTGTAATTTATTGTAAAAATGTAAGCAAAGGAGAAGCCTCTGTTTGAAATAAATGCCATAGTTTGTGAAGTGTCTGTCTTTTGCATCAGTTTATTTATAAATATTTATAAGTATTTTGCATTTCAAGTGTCAGAAATATGAAACATTAATCTGAAGATGACAATTTCCCCCATTTTTATAAGGTTTTGTAATTATTCATTAAATTATGTTGACTTATTTAGTCTATAAGTGTGAATTTAGTTTTACTGGATATACATAAGTTACTTACACTTATGTTATTACTTTAACAAGGTTTTTTGTCACCAATCCATCCTTTAAATAATCATACTTTCCTTCCAGCCTCATTGCATCGTTTATTCAAAAGAAGTGCCCACTTAAAAGAAATTAACAATTAACATGCAAACAAAACACATAAAGTCTGTTGGATTGTTTCATGTTGATTAGATTTTACAGCAGATCTAATTTTGCCTTTCAGCTAAAGAGTAATGAGGTTTAAAAAATTAGCTTTTGATTGCTAAGTGGATCGTATTGGACATGCTCTCCTGTCAGGAAATACGCCACTTAATTAATCTGCAGGTTTGTGAAGTAATGACTCTTTAAGTGGATGGATTTATAAATGTAAACTTTAATTATAGGCTGTCAGATTACCAGCTCCTAGCAGAGGCTTGGTGTTAAACTGAGCAGATTTGAAGCTGATAAACAGAGATAAGGGAAATAAGTCAAAAACATCACACATTAATTTGGATTTCACAACAGACCTTTCTTTTATTACTAGAAAACTGACATACTTATCATTTTTATTTGAGTTACAAAAGGCTGGAAGGGCTGTTTTATTTAGGAGAGATGGTATCTCAGGGCATTGTAACATTTCATTCATTGAAGCAGGTGTAAAAAGGCATAGATTAATTCTATCTTAAATTACATTTTTAAATTTCAATATTGTAATACTCATTTACCCATTTACTGTCTTTAAATTAACATTTAGCTTGCAAATCTGTCACATTATAACGCCAAACTTCCTTGTACTTTACTGGGTTTTCATGTGATGATACACCAGTGCAAAGTATTGCTTAATTCTTAACTTTAACAAAAGTCCTAGAATGTTTTATATAAATATGTTTTATATGTAACAATTTGAAAAGTATGGTGTGTCTTTATTTGTTGTATTTTATTGTACATCCTGCTCAGTCAACACTTTTACAATTGTACATTTTTGAGCATATCTACCAGCTCAGAATAAGCGTCACAGAGAAACTCCCAACAGGTGGTGCCAAAATTTATAATTCCAAATAAATAAATAAAAATTTTAAAAAGTCAACAGCGCCATGTTTGTAGGAGACGAGCGGAAATGACCTTGTCCTGTGGACGTTACGTCTGACGTCAGGTGGTTCGTATTTCCTTTCCGTCGCAGTGTGCTAGTAGCTAGCCGTGCTTGTCCATGAGCGGTTTTTAAACATGATGAGTGGCAGGACGAGTGCGATGGTGGCCGGGATGTGTGGGGCCCTGTTCGTCGCGTACTGCATTTACTTTGACAGGAAGAGACGGAGCGACCCGTTGTTTAAAGAAAAGCTTCGTGAACGTAAGTTTTTATACCGACCGTGAAGTTGTGCTAGCATCGTTAGCATCATATAGCTAGCTGCAGCCCGCAAGGACACT